GCACCCGCTCAGCAGGAAGCGCCAGAAGGGGCCACGCCCCCTTCTCCCACAGAAGTGGTAACAGAGTGGGGGTCATGACGCAGTTACAAAGGACTGTGAAACAGGGTGGTCCCCAGGAAAGGGCCCCCCCACCGCCCAGGAGGGGGTGCCGGATTGTGGACGGAGTGACCTCTGGCCCCGGGGCCCAGGGCGTGGGGGGGGGGGTTTCTGGCTCTTTTGGACCCTTCCCTGACCTGGGGCAGCTCTCGGGCTTCCGGCCCTGCTCTGGGACCACCCTACTGCGCTGGACCTTTCCCCCAGGGGACCGGGTGGGGGGCGGGGAACTCTGGGTGCTGGGTTTGGAAACGTCTCTGTCCCATTTTCTTCCTTGCACACTCGCTGCAGTAACGCTCCCGTCCACGGAAGGCCTCACGCTCCAGCGCGTGTCTCGTCTCAACGCCCTGGACGGCAGAACCTATTGAGAACGGGCAGGTTTGGGGGTGATGGGGTGTCCTCACCCTGCCCTCCGACCCTTTGTTGGAAAGCAAGTGAGAATGATAAAGACAAATGCCCTCCGCTGCCTTAGCAGGTGAGGGGGAAACAGTAAAATTCCTAGAAAAAAGAAGGGGCTCTAGGAAGCCCGCGAGGGGGCTGAGGGGCAGAGGAAAGGGGAGCGTGGACAGGGCGAGGGGAAATGTGGCGGGACCACCGGGTGCTGGGAAGGAGAGGTCGGGAAATAGATTGAGGTTACGGGGTGCTATCACAGAGTGATCCTGGGGGGTCTCTGAGGAGCAATTGTTAGGGGGAAAGGCTGTCCTGCCTAATCCCATGCAGGCTTTGTGGACCCACCCCCACCCCAGGCCAAAGCCATCAGGACACTGGGAAAGACGAATCCCGTCACCCCCAAAGGGGAGGTGGCTGGGACCTGAGGGTGCAGTTGAGCAGCCAGGTTGGGTATAAAAACCAGACACGTGGGCCTTGGGGTCTCTCGCTCTGTCGCTCCCCTCCTGGCTTCAGGGCTCCTGGCTCGGGGCCAGCTCTCAGGGTGCCATTTGGGATTCCTGATCGACGGATCGGGTAGGACGCATTTAAGACTTTGTCTCCCACTTTTCTCCCTGAGCTGTCCATTTCCTCATTTCCCCTTCCCTTGTCAATAAACCTTTTATGAACCTTTCGCGTGTGCCTGCAGTAGAGCGTTGATAAGTCCTTTTAAGCGCGCGGGTGAGGACCCACAGTCAGGCACCCCGTTTTGTATCGGGCTGCCCTGTAACACGATGACTTGACAATGACGTCGAGGAAGTGGCGCCGTGGGCGCTTCAAGCAGCAGGCACCTCCCGTGCCAGTCTGACACGGAAAATGGGGTTATTGTCAGCGAAGTCCATAGGGCCTGTGGGGGGTTGGCGCTGCGAGTGGAAGGAGAGCTCAGACTCCCTGTTGCAGTCGTGGTGATTGGATCACCCGCCATAGACATGGCAATTTGATTTTCCCCTTGGTGGACACCACCCAGGAAGTCAGCCCCAAGTCCGGGGAAACGAACTGATCAGCAGCCATGAGGGAAATAAATAAATAAATAAACGCACAGACATGAAATCCAAACGTAAGAGTCAAGTAGAAAAGACCCTCATGGGGTCTCCCTGGGGGCGCAGGGGTTAAAGAAAGCTCCATCAAGCTCTCGCCCCCCGCTGCAGCAAGAGATGGAGCCCCCGCCCGCCAGGAGCAGCTCATAAGCGGGCAGCAGACCCTCCGGTCTCCCCCCTGCTCCCCTCACCAGGGAATTTCAGTAGATCCGCCTGTTCTGACCGCCAAGCTCTCTGGTGCGTCCTCTACGCTCCCCCACCTCTGGTCTACACCCCAGTGCTTGTATATACAATAAATAACTCTTGGGGGGGGGAAAGCTCCCCCCCACCCCCACAGTGCAGGCAGGGGCACACGCTAAACCCCTCATGGCTGTGAAAAGGAGGAGCCTTGTCAGGGAACAGTTTCCTGGGGGTCCTGGGCTGACACCTGCACTGTGGGGCGTGTGGGGGGTGCGGGGAGCTTTTTTTTTCCCCCAAGAGAAAAGTGGATCAGAGGGAAGCAGATGCGCTCACCCAGGGGAGCAGGTGTCGACGGTTGAAATGGGCGGGGGATTGGATAACACTTGGGAACCGAGAGGATTTATTTTGGGGCGACGTGCTGGGTCCCTGGAATATTTTGGTGAAATGCGAAACGGAGGCCTGTGACGAGACCCGCGGGTGCTGCGTGTGAGGTTAGCCGGGGGCGAGGCGGTTCCGAGCGGCGTGGGGGGCGCCTGAGCGGCTGGGAAAGTCCGCGCGCGTTTGCCCCACCGGAGGGTCAGTGAGTTTTCCAGCGTCTCCCCCGAAACACACCAGACGCTGCGACCCTTTGCGGGGCGGCCCCCGAGCAGATCCGGGGCGCGCACCGTGGCGGGGCGCGGGGCAGAGTGGAGTCCGGGGGTCCGGCCGCCGCTGCGCTCGGGCGCCGGGGCCTCCGCGGCAGCACCTGGGCCGGGGCGCGCGCGGCGCGGGGCCTGGAGGGCGCGCACCTGGCGCCGGGCGGCGCATATAAGGGGCGTCTACGCGAGCGGGCGGGCTCGGGCCCCGCAGCAGCGAGAGCGGAGCAGACGCGGGGGACGGAGACGCCGGAGAGCGCGCGGGGGAGTCCAGGTGCCCCGGGGCCCGCCCGCCCTGCAGCCCCCGCCTCACCCCACCCCGGATCCGGCCCCTCGGCCCGGCCCGCCCGAGAGTCCGGGTTCTCAGGGGCCCGGGCCTCTCCCCGGGCCTCCTGCCCCCGGCGCCCGGCTGCGCTGTCGGGGAGACCGCGACCGGCCCGCGCCAGCCCCCGGAGCCCCGGACCCGCCGCCCGTGTGCCCGGAGCCCCTGGAGCCGGCCCCGCAGCGCCCCACGGGCGGCAGGACCCGGCGCGGACGGGGACGCGGCCCCCCAAGGCCTCGGGCGGGAGCGAGGGGTGCAGCTCCTCTCTGCGCCCCCGACCCGGAGCCGCGGGGGCCGGTGCGCACGGCGGGGCGCCGCGGACGGACTCAGCCCCGCGCAGAGCGGGTCTGGGGTGAGCGTCCCCCGAGCTCTGCCCGTGGTGGGGACGACCCTGGAGGCGCCGCGGCCCCCATAAGGCGGACGCGGCCCGGGAGCTGCCCGAGGAGACCTGGGGGGAGGCCGAGCTGCCGGCGGGGACCCGCCCGGGACCCGGAGCCGCAGACGCCGCGGGGGAGCAGGAGCCCGACGCCCCGGCGCCCCGGAGCACCCCACGGAGGGCGGGGCTCATGGCCACGCCAGAGGCTGGGGACCGGGCGGGGGGAGCGAGGGGACCCTCTATGCCCCCGGAGAGGAGAGTCGGGGTGCCCTAAGCGGCCTGGGGGCGGGGGGTCTCCGCAGCAGGCGGAGAGTCTCAAAAAGCCCCTCAGACCAGCCGAGGCGGGCGCCGAGGCCGCAGCCCTGGCCGCGGGGCACGAGCCGCGGGGCTCCCGGAGCAGCTGCGCCCCTCGCGGCGCTGGGGGTGAGGCCGCGGGCTGGAGCGGGAGGGCGAGGGCGGAGGAGCCTCCGGGGCGGGCGGGGACGTGGCCTGCGGGGGCGCCCGGGGCGGAGCGGGTCCCGGGGCGGCGCGGGGAGCAGGTCTCCAGGGCCTGGCGCGGGGGCCGCCGGCAGCGGGGTGACGGGACCTGGAGCGGCGGGGACGGCAGTGAGTACCCCTGGGGCTGGGCGGTCACCCCAAGAGCTGAGCGTCTCAGACCTCAAGTGCGCACACCTGGGGTGGGGGTGGGATGGGGTGGGGCTGGCGCTGAGCCCGCGGCCCGGAGAGGCCTGAGCCGGACGCCCTGCGCGGGAGCGCGGAAGCCGCCCGGACGGAGCGGTGGTTCCCCTGCGTGCGGGGTGTGGGGGGCAGTCGGGAGCGACCTTGGGGGGCCTGCGAAAAGGCCCCTCATTCCGCCCTCGGGGGTGCCCTGCTGGAAGGGGCGCGTCCTCTGTCTGCCGGGAGGTGGTGCTCCGCTGCGCCGCTCAGCTGCGCCGGTCGAGGCTGCAGGTTCCGAGGCAGGAGAAACCAGGTGGGGACTGTCCCGAGGCAGCGAAGGGGGGGGGGGGTGGGTGGATGGAGGGGTACGGGAAGATTGCTTCCTTTTGGGATTTGCGCGAAACACCTTTGTGGTAAACTGCAGCTGAGAAAACTGGGGGCCTCTGGGGCGTGGGCTGCCTGAGGATGAGCACCTGCGGGAAGAGGTGGACAAGCACACTCGGCACACCTGAGGCTGGGGCGGGGTCGGGGAGGGGCTGAGAAAATAAAGGCTCCGGCAGAGCAAGGAGGAGAAGAGGAACAAACAGCTTTCCCTCTGGAAAGAAGGTACGGGAAGGAAATGGTAGAAGGGGGTAGAGGGTCCAGGGGGTAGAGGGTCCAGGGGGTAGAGGGTCCAGGGGTAGCGGGTCCAGGGGGTAGCGGGTCCAGGGGGTAGAGGGTCCAGGGGGTAGAGGGTCCAGGGGGTAGAGGGTCCAGGGGGTAGAGGGTCCAGGGGGTAGCGGGTCCAGGGGGTAGCGGGTCCAGGGGGTAGCGGGTCCAGGGGTAGCGGGTCCAGGGGTAGCGGGTCCAGGGGGTAGCGGGTCCAGGGGGTAGCGGTCCAGGGGTAGCGGGTCCAGGGGGTAGCGGGTCCAGGGGGTAGCGGGTCCAGGGGGTAGCGGGTCCAGGGGGTAGCGGGTCCAGGGGGTAGCGGGTCCAGGGGGTAGCGGGTCCAGGGGGTAGCGGGTCCAGGGGTAGCGGGTCCAGGGGGTAGCGGGTCCAGGGGGTAGCGGGTCCAGGGGGTAGCGGGTCCAGGGGGTAGCGGGTCCAGGGGGTAGCGGGTCCAGGGGGTAGCGGGTCCAGGGGTAGCGGGTCCAGGGGGTAGCGGGTCCAGGGGGTAGCGGGTCCAGGGGGTAGCGGGTCCAGGGGGTAGCGGGTCCAGGGGGTAGCGGGTCCAGGCTCTGGCCTGTACCCCGGTTGTTTAAGGGAATAAATGTGAGGACATGAAGGCGTCCTGGAGCAAGGAGTGTTTATTGGGCTCTCATGTGCTCTGTCAGCTGCCAGAGGGGATCTGCTGCAGTTCCAAGTCTCTGGGCCCTCAGAAATGCACCAGTTGGTCTCCCCCATCTCTGGAAGTTCCCCGTTTCACAGCTTGGTCTCTTGCATTCCAGGAGCTGGGAAAAGCAGCCTGGATTCCCCCATCTCGCGCCCACCCCTTCTCCCGCCCTTTGCAGACCCTCCTCAGCCTCGCCTGAGAAGCAGCTCCTGTCACTGCTTCCCGGCAGGAGCCCAGGGGCAGCTGACACAGACCCTCCTGGGATGAAATGCAGGCACATCTAGCTCTGGGGCTCTGCCCTACTGCACTTGAGGCACCTCCTCCCCTGCTCTAGGGGACCCCTTGGCAGGGCAGGCCCCACTGCACCAGTCATGATGACCAAGTCCCCCTCCCCAGACACCCTGAAACCTGCATGGGGCGCAGCTGACCTTCCGGAAGTCAGCATGGGCGCCTGCTCCTCTCCCTAAGCCCGCCACTCACGGTGCCCGTTGGTCAGCGCGCCCTCCAGTCCTCTCAGCTCAGCGTCGGCGTCCCCTCGTGGCTTCCCAAAAGGTCGTCCATGGGCCAGGGGACCTCCAGCCAGGGGGCGGCACCCTCCGGGAGCAGGGCGGCTCCAGCGCTGGAGGGAGGGCTCTTCAGCAGGGAGGCCTGCGTCTTGCAGGGCTTTCCTGCCACCCTGCTTCCAGGCCCACCGGGCAGTGGGGCCTCCTCTCCAGCAGCCATCAAGGGGCTCCCCAGACTGTCCCCCAAGTTCTGGTCTGAGGAGCGTTCCCAAGCATCCTCCTGGGGGGACACGTGACCCCGGGCCCGCATCCCCAGCTCTCCTGCCCGCGTGTTAAGACCTGGCATGCTGACACCCTGACTCGAGAGACCAGGGGCCTCGGGGTCAAGCGAGGCCTCCCACCGCAGCCACGTGGGCGCCTCAAGGCCGTCCTCAGAGCGCAGGGAGGCGCTCCCGTTGACTCCAGGGGTGGGACCTAAAGAGTGGGAAAAACAGGCACATGTCCATGCTGTGTCCGGGCTGCTCGGGACTCACTGCCCGAAGGAGCGGGTGCACACCGCGTGCCTCCCACAAAATTCAGACATGAACACTCCTCCCCGGCCAGGGCGCTGCTCTAGGTTTTGCAAGCACCTGCCTGCCCGCAGCAGCAGCTGGTCCTGAGGCGGAGGGCCCTCTTCAGGGGCCATGTGCTCAGAGCCCAGCAGCTGCTGGCCGCGCCAGGACAGAAGCCGCTTTCCCAGGGCTACGCCTCGTGGAAGTTGAGCCTCGCGGGCCGTGTGTCCCAGGGCTGCCCTGCTCTCTCAGCCCAGCCCCCTACTAGGGACCCCTGGTGCCATCCACTCACCACCTTCATTCAACAGGGAGCCTCAGAGACCTCTGCCAGGAATGGCGGGGACATGTGGAACAATGGGACACTGGGGGGTTGGGGAGACTCCTGAGAAACCACGGGTGCTTTTAAGTGAGGCCACAGGGCACCCACCCCGGAAAGGCTGGCCCAGCCGCAGAGCATGGTGCCCTCACCGGCAGCCGGGGCCCACGAGGCTGGCTTCGGGCAGCCGTCAGACCTGCATTCTGGGGGCCGAGCCCCTCTTCGGGCCCTCTTCACCCAGGCCGGCGCCTCCCCTGCATTCTGCGAGGAGAGGGCCCAGTCAACCCAGAGGGAAGGGGGCCCACCGCACCTCTTCTCTGGAGAAGGGTGCCCAGACGGCCGGTCACCGTGGGCACCCCATGCCAGACTCAGCCACCGCCCCACCCTCGCCGCCCCCCCACGCCACCTCATGGCCCCTCTTGGGCGCGCAGGCCTGCTCTGGCTCCTCCACCGGCCGGCTGGTACACTGGGGGGCCGAGCAGTCCCCATGCAGCTCCTTCTGCCGGGGACCTTCCGGGATTCCCAGAGACTCTGCGAGCTGTGGAGAAAGGGCCGACAGGGAGGCGCGCCTCAGAACACGCCCCCGGCACGCTGTGCCCGCAGCAGCGACCACCGACCAGACGGCGAGAAGGCAAACAGGAGTTAGACAGAGGCACTGGGGAGGAGATGGATCATCGGCAGAACCGGAGGCTCGGTGTCAGCGCAGCCTAGGGAAGGACACCACGGGCTCTGCGCTGCCACAGCGAAATGAGGTGAGGCCAATACCACTGGCCGTCTGGCCCGTTACCCCTCCTTTGTCGAGTTCCCACTGGCCCCTTCAGAAACCACCTGCCGACTCCAGACCCAGCGCTCCTGCCCGGGGCGTGGGAAGGCCTGTGGGGAGGCAGAGAGAGCCCCAGGCCACTTTCTGTTGGTCAGGGCAGTGGGCCATGGGCTGCCTTCACTCTGGGTTTCCTCACTGCCGAGGGAGAGGATAGCTGCCTGAGGGGCGGTGGGGTTCCCAAGGCCAGGCTTGTGGAAAGCGCCACGTGAGGGTCATTGGCAGCACTCCCTGTTTACACGGGATGTCGTGAAGAGACATCGTGAAGGCCGCAGAGCCCAAGAGGGAGGAGCAGTTGGGGAAGGGCAAGGCAAGGTCAGAGGACACGGCCGGCACGTCCAGGGCCTGCCATGCTGCAGAGTCCCCCCAGACTGAGCCTGGCTCACTGCAGAAGCTGCAGCACAGCCTGAAGGCCATGAAGATGGTCAGCCCACACTAGTGCAGGAGGCGGCTGCCTGGCGCACACACACATGTACATGCACACACATGTATACATGTACACACATAAGTGCACATATACACATGCATGCATGCACACACACATGGTGACACTGCCAACCGGGGCATCTAGGTCAGGCTAGCCCGCCGCGCCAGCACACTTTGTAGCATGTGACAAGAAAAGCAGTGCTGCAGGTGTCGGGAGGGAGCGCGCCTGCTGTTCCCATCTTCACCCCCAGGAGCGGTCACCATGTGATCATTCTGTAACATGTACAGACTTTGAATTACGACGTTACACACTTTAAGCGAATGTGTTCTATGTTGGTCACGCCTCAAAAAATAATTTTGAAGACTCAACCGTTTACTGGGTCATATGAAATACTGAGTTTGTACAAACCACGTGACGACGACCACACACAAGCTCCTGTGACGCCCTTGCACACGCAGGCGCTGTCCAGGGACATCAGAGCAGCCGGACGCAGGCGGCCACTCTTTGTGAATAAAAAGGCGCCGTGTAAGGCCCACGCTCTGGCAGGCACGGCAGGTGGGGCGTGGGGCTCTGCTGGAACCTCGGAGGGGCTCACCCTCAGCAGGGGCACAAGGACGAGTCCCCATGCTGGGCAGTGACAGGCCCCAAGGGGTCTGACTCTGGGGCACACAATGCCCAGCAAGGGCTTGTCCAAAACAAATGGGGCACATCAGCTCAGAGGGACAGTTGTCAAGGACACAGTATCTCCAAAGGGAATCTCACGGCTCAGTGACGAGGAAATGAGAGTTTTGTCAAAACAGCCACAGACACGGCTGCCGGCCTCTGTTGCCTAAACGCAGCGCCCGGACTCCGGTGTGACTGTGGTCAGCGGTGGAGGGCAGGGGGGACATGGCTGTTTCCTTAGTCTTCTGAAACAAGCGCTTGTCAACTTTATATTACAAAAATAACTTCACAGCTGGGAAAAGCTGGAGAGTTGACTGCGACGTCACTGCTATAAACGTGCTCCGTTCCCCGCAAACCCCCAACTCTGAGGGTGAACCCTGGCCAGGTGAGGCAATTACCTTGCTGTTGCTTATTTCCAGCGGCTCCAGGGGGCACGGGCCGGGGCTGCTGAGGTACTCCTGGCACATCTTCTTGACCTGCTTGTGCAGCTCTTCGAATTCCCTGTACACGGCTGGGAAGAAAGGCTTTCCCTGGTGGCCTCCAGCCTTAGTGAGAGAGAGATGAAGAGAGAGTAGACCTGAGGCCACGAGGGGAAAAGGAGAGACAGCCACGGTTCCTCATGCCCTGTGCAGTGTCAGAGGCCCCCGCCACTCCCCAGTGCACCTGCTGTGCCCCAACACTGTGCTCGCCCCAACACCAGCGTGGGCCTGGAAAGGGAATGCCCAGAAATGCCCCCCAGGGTGACAGCCCAGGGCCCTTGTTCCCTCCCTGCCAGCATAAGGGGGCAGGTCTCCCCTCCTCCGGGAACTGCACCCCGTGGGGAGAATAGGCCTAGTGGGCTGGCTGTGGCTGGTTGCTACCCCTTTCACTGCTCACACTTAGAGCTAGAGCTGCCAGGCCCTGTGCAGCCAGCCTGAGACCTGGAGGTCAGCTGTCACCAGCATCTGCTCCCCAGCAGGCCTGGCCCTCTCGGGAGAAACATGAGGCAGGTCTGATTCCAGCCATTTAGAAACACCAGCAAGAGAAATTTCACCTTCAGCAGGAGAAATTCATACACGGTCACGGCCTGAGTCAGCGTGGGGAGAGCTAATGCCACCAAGTCCTCCGGGTCACCCTGCTGGAGAAACTACCAGAGAAAGCCTTTGACATCTCTGAAAGTCCCACAGAATTTCCCAGAGCCACCGAGTCAGTGCCACAGAGTCTCGCTGGAAGCTCCCCCATCCCAGCGGCTGAGCCTCTCACAACTGTGCTTCACTGAACCCCTCACGTACCAAAGCAGCGGCACATGGGACCAAAGGAGGCAGGGCCTGGTGCATGACATCACCAGTGCAGTGGGTGTTGGGGTCTGGGCAAGGCCTTCGACCCCTAGGGCATACCACCAAGGGCAGAGACCCGAGGGCAGAGACCCAAGGCAGCGAACAGCGAGACAAGGGCAGAGAAGCTGGGAGAGGGGTGAGGCTGAGGCTGGGCAGGGGAGGAGCGGGGCAGGGGAGTGCACTGTCCTCAGGGCTTAGCGACTGGACGGGGTCCTGGATCCCAGACAGGCGGCCAGCAGCCAGCGCGGGTGCTGCACGGGGTGCTTTAGTTGGCTCTGGCGCTCCGAACAAGAAGCACTGACGTGGGAGGTGGCAGAGGGAAGACAGTCTGGAAGCCAGGAGGAGGGATGAGATCCATGGGGGAGGCGAGGGAGTGAGGGCAAAACTGGGAGCCCCAGAGACACTCGAAGGAGGCCTGGGAGGGGGACAGAGCCCTGGCGCTGCAGCCAGCCGGTGGCAAGGTCCCCGAGCGATCAGACAAGCAAGAGGAAAACCTGTGCAGTCTGCAAGAGCAAAAACGTTATGACCTTGCAAAGTCCTTAGAGAAAAATGACTCCCTGCTTTCCAGTGTTCTGGGAGTGTGGGAGGTCAGAGTGTGGGGGTGCTGCCCACCACAACCTGATCTAGTACTGGACGTGCCCTGAAACAGAAGACAGGGCCCCTGGGCTCCCTGCTTCACCCTCGCCTACAGGCTGCCGTTTCCCCGGGGGGTTGTGTCTATTGGGTGGACCCTCTCGCACCCACACCCAGGACAGGGCTGGTCCTTGGCGGACACCCTGCTAATGTGTAAACAAGCGCCCATTTCTGGGGGGACCCTCCTCCATGAGAGTCCAGGGCAGGTCCCAATCTTCCAAGAGACAGATGTGCCCGGAGAGTCCAGTTTAGGGGAGCATCGGGTGAGAGTCGCAGGTGAACAGTGCTGACCTCAGATGCCCCCTCACACACTCCGACTCAGTGGGCCCCAAAGGCCCAGGCTGGATCTGCCCCCGTGCAGGGACCTTGTCAAGAGTCCGTGGGCACCACGTTCCCGGCTCCTCATCTACTAAGTCGAGCACATGGTTATCATGGAGGCGCCTGGGCTTGGCCGGGAAGGGCGGCTGCCGGGCGGTGGATGAGTCAGGCTCCTGACTCCTGCTCCTTCGAGAGTCCAGGACGCATGAGCCTCATGGGAGTCAAGTGAACTCGCCAGAACTTGTTTCCCGCCTGAAGGGTCTCACAAACACCAGGAAACTGTACCAGCTGCTTTCTGAACTACTTGCATGAAAACACAGGTCATGATTATGCCCAAACACAGAGGCGGGCAGCCCTGGGGCCCCGGTCATTCACGCACCTACCGATGTGTTATTTCTGGGAGTAGCATCCTCGCCTGCAAGCCCTCCCGGCACTCACACTGCCGGATGATTGCCTCGCGCTCTGGCTGCTGTGCTCTGAGGCCCTGACCCTGACGGTGAGCGGGCCAGGGCCCTGAGCAGACGCGGGGTTCAGGGGCAGCCTCAAGGGGCGACGCACCTCCTTGAGCCTGGCCAGGCTCCTGGTCACACCGGCCTGCGGGGGGCCTGGCCTGCTCTGCTCCCGGACCAGGGTGCTGGGCTCGGCGGGTGCCACAGAGTAGCCGCTACCAGGTCCGCCGTGTGTCTCCGACCCTAGCAGGGCTGCACAGCTTCCATTTCCTGCTTCGGACACCGCCATCTCCCCCGCTTCTGCAGACCAGCCCTTCTGGACAGCGCCGTCGTGCATGCAAAAGGAGAAGAGAGAGCGTGAGCGGTGAGGAGACCCTCCACGGAAGGAACTCACTGCATTATTTCCTCTTTGCAAAATCAAGACCACTGCCTATAACCAATCATCTTCAGTTTTCCCACCAAGGCGCCCCTTTCAGACCCCAGCAAGTCTGGCGACAAGCCACAAGCCCGCTACTGCCCACAGCGGAAAGAACCACTTCTCTAACATCACCATTGCCTTAAAATTGACCTGAGGGGGCCTCCCTGGTGGCGCAGGGGTTAGTCTCAGCACTATCACTGCTGCGGCCTGAGTGCGATCCCCGGCCAGGGAGCTACCCACAGGGCGCAGCAGACCTCTCCTGTCTCCCCGCTGCTCCCCTCAGCGCTGGATTTCAGTGGCTCCACCTGTTCTGCTCCCCACTCTGTCTCTGGTGAGTCCTCTCACCCTGCACCTCTGGCCTGTACCCCAGCTCTTGTATGCAAAATAAAAAATAAATTTTTAAAAATTGACCTGAGGTGCGTTTGTTCATAACGTACCCGTAACTTTACACTCACTATTTTTATTGGATATCTCAAACACCATAAAGGCGACACTTGGAAAACACACGCTTCAGTACATGTGTCTGTGACAGGGCTATGTGGCCAGTGCCACTCCAGAGGAGCTTCGCACCTGCAGCCCATGCCTGTGCCCCCCTAGAGCCCCAGGTCCTGCCCGCAGTGACCCGCTTTGCCCCAGTGGCTCTTTGAGGAGTGCCCTGGACCCGACCCCATCAGCTGCTCCTCATTTGGAGTCAGTCCCCACTCCCCCAGAGGGTGAGTGATGGCTGCATCTCCCAGGCTGACGGAAGCGTGAATGGACGGGACTCACGTGGCAGCCGCACACAGTATGTCCTCAACTCTCACAGTCTTCCCTCCAAACCATTACCAAGGACGCTGCCAGAGGAAAGCCAGGCCTTTGAGCACCTGGCACCCTGTGGCCATCCCTACGAGAAGGGAGAAAGGGGACACGACCCCCATGGCCCTTGCCACCCGCTGGAGTCAGAGGGAGCAGCTCTGGAGACTCCAGCCACCCCAGCAGTCTGGACGACCACACCCCAAAGCCAGGTGGCCCCACTCAGGAAATGGAACACCTAGAAGCTGCCTTTGCACAGGGCAGGGCTCATCACCACGGGAGACAGGCACCAGTCACCTGGCCGTCCACCCGGCCGCCGTGCCCGCGTCACGAACAGCGGCCCTCCCGCGCTGAGCGTCCCGGGTTGGATACACACATGGACCGACTACAGCAGAAAGGATTCTCACAAGCTGGGGTTTCACCAGCTGTGAGAGGGACAGCACCCCCTAATGGCAGCAGCCTAGCCTGGAGTGTGGGCTCTGAAGCCAGAGACCTGAGTCTGCCTCTCAGGTCAGACCGAGTCCCACATGGCCTCCCCTCCTGAGTGCCGCGCACCTGCCTCCCAGGGCTCCCACAGCCGCAGGGGGCTCTGGGGGGCGCAGTCTGCGGCCTCGATGTATCACCACTGCCGAGGGGCCGGGGCTGCTGGCCGCTGGAGCTTAGCAGGGCTGGCCGGGCCCACCGCTAGGCCTCTCGGCAGAGGCAGACACAGGGACGGGGTGCGCAGGTTGCGGCCCAAGTCTGTCGGGGCGCACACCCTTGTGGCAGAAAAGGCCAAGGCAGGGCCGAGGTGCACTTGGCAATGCACTCGGGGCTCGCATCTGCCCGTTGTCTCATGGCATGTTTTGGGAGGGGCAGGGGCAGCGGACATGAGGAGCAGTGTTACTGCTTATGCTCCAGAGGCTCCCCAGCTGGGGGCCAGCGCCCCCCATATCACCATCCCCAAGACCCACAGCTGTGACAGCTCAGTTTCGAGAGCGTGGCCACTGGGTCTGCTGAGGGCACCTAAGGCAGAGGCAGCTGGGCGCCCACAGAGGGCCTCGGTAAACCATGCTCCCCGGGCACAGTGGGGGTCTCGGCTCCCCTGCCTGAGGACTGTGGCTCCACGTGTGCCGGCCTCCAGCCCCCACCAGACTCTGCAGAGGTTACGCAGGGCAGGAGGAGGGCTGTGTGCCGAGCAGCAGAGCGCGCCGCCACCCACTTACCTGCAGGCTGACCTGGGCAGGCCGAGCCCCCTCCTCACTCAGCAGGGCTGGCGTGGACAGCTCCGGGGAGGCCGGGCTCCGGGCCTTCCCCTCCCCCAGGCCCTGGGTCACGCTCCCAGCAGCCTTCTCCACAGGCACCAGCGCAGGCTCCAGCTGCCCATGGCCTGGATGCAGCCGGAAGTGCCGGGCCAGCCCCCCTCTTCCGATGTATGACTTCTCGCATGCCGGACACCTAAACATTTTGGGCCTCAGGGAGTGGCTCGCCGCATCGAAGAGCGCCTGCCCGCCCCGCGGGTCTTCCTCCTCCTCCACGCTCAGCTCCGAGTAGTCGTCCGAATCTGACAGGTGGCCGTCAGCCAAGTCCTCTGTCTTGATGAACTTGTAATCTTTAGCTTTGTACTTGGGAGGTCGAGATATCCGTCCAGAACGTGTTTTCACTTTTAAAGATTTTTTTAGTTTCTCAGGGTGCTTGCTGTGCACGTCAGAAGTAGCTGCATTTGCTGAGCTGGGGGGAACTGATGTCACTGCCGGTGGGCGAGAGGCTGACAAAGGGACGCCCTGTCCATCTGGAGCCTCGGAGGCCACCCCTCTCTTCGCGGGGATGGGCTGGAGGGCAGGCAGCGGCCGCTGTACCAATAGCCGGACGGGAGGCTGAGGTGAGCTACTCAGGAAGCAGGGCTGAGGCGCGGCACTGGGGAGGGGCTGTGTCCCAAGCAGCTGGGGGCCGGCCACCCCGAGTCCCAACACGCCAGAGAAGCTCCCGGGCAACTGGCTCAGTGGATGGATGGCGGCCAGCGGGGGCATCGACCTCTCCTGACCTTTGGCTTCTCCAGATGTTACCTTGACACAAATGGCTTCCAGTTGCTTCAATACAGAAAAAGAAGCGTTATGCTTGCCAATGTTTCTGCAACTTTGTGATGCTGCAAGTTTCTCCATCTTGAATCTCCTGACATTCTTTTTCTAATTATAAACTACATGGGCCTATAAAGTCTAAGTCATGTATAGAAAAAGTATCTAATATATCTATAAGGCTCATCTGGCCTACTTTCTGAACAGACAACAGTAACGTATGTCAAGCCCCGTCTGTGAGTGGAGACATTTGTAAAAAAAACAACACAGTATTCGGGAAACTCCTTACCATCCCCACACATGCTTTCCAACCACGCCATTAAAAGCACTAGTCATGAGCCCTCCGTGGACCTCACAGCGTGCTGAGAAGTGGCAGTCTCTGTAGTTTCGCCACACTTGTGTTTACAGGGAGTCCTCAGCACTCAATTCCATCAATGAAGTGACAGAAACCCGTCAATTCACGTCCATGAAGCAGGCCCCAGGCCCCACCACTCCGTTAGATGCGACAGCAGGCCAGGGAGGCCCCAACTCCTCCTGACACACCCCTGCTCCACGCGCCCCGAGCTGCCTAGCTCAGCTGGCGTCGGCCTTTGTTTCCTGGAATTGGGTGGCCGCTGTGAGGGTTTGCGGCCAATCTGGCTGTGAGATGCCCCCACGCGGGGGTCAGTGCTGGGCTTCGCTTTCGTTTTCTCTGCAGGGTGTGGGCACCGTCTCCAGTGGAGGGCCGGGCGCTGGCATGGGCCTGGCCTTCGAGGCTCATGCCGCATGCAAGTGTCTTCAGGCGCACAGCTCGGAGCAGGGCTGCCACCTCAACAGCTTTCCTATTTTAAAATATCTAACAAAATTTTAAATGCCGTGGGACAAATTCCTGGGTTTCCATAACAAACACATGGGCACAAAGATGGAGGATCAGAGTGCCATGACAGTGACCGCAAAGCACTGTAAAAGGGTAAAAAGGGGACAGCTGCAAAGCTCTTCTGCGAGCTACTGAGCAGGGGCAGGTCCCAGGGCAGTGCTGGGCACGGCGCAGCAGGCCAGTCCTGCTCTCACTGAGCAGCAGTGGGGAATACCGCTCTCCAGGGAGAAAAGGCAGGCGAACCCCTTCACCCAGAGCAGGCGTCTCAGCCACAGCCAGACTACCCTTGGCGCGAGGAGCCGTTGGGGGTTATGGGGCAGAATGAAAAGACTCACCACAATCAAGTTGGGGTGCATCTCTCCTGCACCTATACTGTCCACCTAGCACAACGAGCAGGCAACTCAGTGAAGAGGCGCATAGAGCTGCTGCCATGTGTGTGTCCCAGCTCCTGGGATGCTCAAATCCCTCAACAACTGGATTTACTTTGCATATCATTTAAGTTTCACGGTTGTTACATTTCACTCCAAGTCACCTGGATGTTTCTCTAGCTCCCAGCTCCACTTCAGGCTCTCCGCTGGCAAAACGGGTCTAATGTCCTAACCTGCATGCAGACTCATTTCCCACCTGAGTGTTATGCTTGGTACTTTGCCATATGTTTATTTCAGCAAAATTTTACTAAGTATCTCTGAGTGCAACACAATAAACATAAGGCAGGTGCTAATCTGATCTGGGGAGGGGAAGTCTCCTCCCCAGGAAACCAGTCAATTCACGTTCATGAAGCAGGCCCCAGGCCCCACCACTCCGTTAGATGCGACAGCGGGCCAGGGAGCTGCAGAGTCCAGGTCTGCTGGCCAGAAACCAGTCCTTTCAAAAGCCTCTCTGCCAACTTTGGGTTCCCTAAGGGATGCAGACAGGAAGGTGCTGACACCAGGGTAATAGGCACAGAGGGGCAGGGGCAGCCTGGGATCATGTGTCCCAGAAAGGGGCCCTCACAGCCAGGCTTGCAGGCTGAGCACAAGCTTTGCCAGGAAAAATGCATGCTAGTGTAAGGAAAGCCTGTGAGAATGCATGGACATGTGACAAAGGGCACAGCAGGTTGGAGGGAACTGGAAGTTTCTGTGGGATGGCAAGAGTAAGGGTAGGAAGGAACAAAAGTGGACATCTGACCTGTGAGGGTGCCCACTTGGTCTATGCCTCCTGCTAATCACCCCTCCCCCCACAACTGCCTCCCTTCCCTAGATGCACACCAGGCCCTCCCCCCACCCTAAGCCCATCTCTCTTCTTCAGTATTTCCAAGTAGGACCCACCCCTCCAACCCAGTGGGGGTGCCAGTTCTTCCATAAAGCCACTTCTGACCCTCGGCCAGAATCCGTCACTCCCTTCCCCTAAATGCATCCGGTTCTTGATTATCGCTAGCCTCTACCCTGGATTCGAAGTCAGGGATGCTTTACCTCCTCAGTTGATGCTGAGTTCCTTAAGGATAAGGGGGCCTTGGGAGGCCTCCATGACATAGCCGGGGCTCAGGGTATTGGCTGAGTGGGCCACAAAATTATATTATTGTGATTGCAGGGAGAACTGAAATCTTGCCAATCTTGCTTCTGACTGCAATCATGCTGGCTAACTTGGATTGCTCCTGTTCATGTTAGGGACAAAATATCAATTCTGGAATCTTTCCTAAACTGCCACACCAAACCCAAACAGCTGTGGCCACATGGAGGCTCTGGAGTGCAGCCACACCTGAGGGGCCCTGGGCAAAGTACCCTAACCTCTGAGCTTGCTCCTCCTCTGTAAATGCTCGTACAAACATTTTCTGTGTGGCCACTGAGCACTCAGTGGCCCAGCACAGTACAAGGGCGTGGAGCAGAGGCTCAGCACCAAGCAGGTACTGTCACCCCAACGCCAGGCTTGCTGTGCACAGCCCTGGTGGAGGGCGCTTGTCCCCTCAGCAGAATCTAAGCCAGGAAGCTCATCCACAACCCACCCCTCCTGCAATAGGGGCACCAAAGCCCAGCAAGGTTGTTGCCCAAGGTCACACCTCCAGGGAATGTGGAGCTTGGGCAGAATCATATTCATCTTCTAGTGAGACAACCCCCTGGTACCACTGGGTGCAACTCTAAGCAGTCAATATCAGCCTGAAACAGTGAAGACACTTGATTCCATTCTCTGCCTATTTCATTTAGCGAAAGAAGTATCTCTATGGCAATTTTGGGGGCCGAAGTGTAACTTACCGCCCCAGTACTGAAAAGGGTTGTGGCTTTCCAGGTGATGTGTAGGACCTGGGGGTTAAGGTGCTCCACCTGACTCTGCTAGGAAAACCACGTTCTAGCTCCAACTTCTTTAGCAGCCAAGAGCTGTGTGATCCGGGGAACAGTGCCACTGAGAAAGGATGTTTTGTGGTACAGGGTGTGCTTTCACATATTTCACTCATTAAGTGTGCGTCCGGCACAGTGCTGGGTGCAGGGGTACCCGCATTACCACTAGGGGCGGTAAGGCCTGCATCAAGTTACTACAATGTGCTTAATTACGTTCCAACGCCGCCCGTGGCCCTTACTGTTCCTCCCACCTGTAAAGCTCTCTATGACGGTAGCTTGTAATCCACCCGGGTCTTAGTTCCAGGGTCACCACTAAGGACCACATACTAAAGCAGCCCCCTTGTCACTCCTGGAACCTGCCTTATGTTCCGATAGTGTGAAAGGTTGCACCTCCTGTCCCTAGGGCGGTGCCGGGGGCAGTCAGTGCTCAGTCCATGCACAATGAATGGACAAAAGCCGGCAAGACGAGCGAGGCGGCACCAAGGGCACCTGCGCGGGGCAGGGCAGAGGCCGGAGGGGAACCCGGGCAGGGGGCCCAGCATGGGCCAGGGCTCCTAGAGCGAGGCGTGTCGGAGAGGCTGGAGGCGCTGGGCGGCGACAGGTGGGGTGGATGCCGGCCCGTGGGGCTCAGGGAAGGGAGCCCGGAGCTTTACTGCGGCCTCCAAGGCCGGGAGGCTATTCGGGCCCAAGCGGTGGAGCCGGGGCGCCCCGCCTCCCGCCAGGCCTCGCTCCCCTCGGAGCCTCCGTTTCCCCGCGTCCCTCCCGGCGCCTCACCTGGGGCGGCAGCAAGCGCGGCGGGCGCGGGGGCTCGGCGCCCGGGCCTCGCTGCAGGGCGGCCTGCTGGGCCGCGTCCCGCAGCCGCCGCGCCGCGTCCTGCAGCACGAAGGGCGGCGGCGGTGGCTCGGCGCGCGGCTGCGCCTTCGTCACCTGCTCCAGGACCCGCCGCAGCTGCTCGGGGCCCAGCGGGGCCACGCGCGCGGCGCGGCCGCTCGGGCCGGGGGGAGCCGGGCGCGCGCCGCCGCCGCCCTCCTCGCTGCCGCCCTCCGCCTCCTGCTCCGCATCCGCCATGGGGGCCGAGGCGGGGACTCGAACCCGAGTCCACCAGGCGACGGCGCCGCAAATGTGCGTCACCCGCTAGAGCGGCGGCTACGAGTGCCGGGCTGGTCCAGACGCCGGGCTGGTGGGCGGGGCCCTGGTGGGCGTGTCCTGTGCTGGCTCCGCCCCGCCCGCCGCAGCCCCGGCACCGACCGGCGCACGTGCCCTGCGCACCTGCAGTCTTGGCTTCCGGCGCGAGGCCGCTGTGTTCACCTGGAGCCGCCTCCTCCCGCGGCGCTGTCCCGCGTCTTCGCGTACGAGCTTTTCCCGGTTCCGTTCTCTCGACATCTGACTATCCAAGGGCGCGCTCCCTTTTTTAATCCTCAAATTCTCTTTCGTACAGTTGAGCCAGGATGTCCCCGCGCATCAGTCACCCCAGGTACAACCCCGGGCCCCACGCCTATGGGAGGCGGGTTCGAAGTCATCCGGTGCGCCCACCTCGCCCACCCACCCACTCACCCAGACTGGGCCCCACCCTGACGGCGGGGACGGTGTGACCCAAATTCGGGGCCCAACTCAGGCCCCAGCCCGGAGTGCGCGCCCAGGGATGGAGGACGAAGCCGGAGTGTGAGCGAATGTGAGCATGAGTGGACGGTGGAGGCATGGACTTCCCCGCCTCGCCTCTCACTCCGGTCCTGTCTCTCCCACCTCTATCTTAATTCCTTTTTCAGCCCAGTCCGTCCTGGGCTGCTCTGGCCGTGTCCTCCTCCGCGTCGCGGAGCTGCAAGTGTGAGCACCTGCATCAGTCTCTCCTCACGAGGGGCAGGAGGGGCAACCAACACCAAGTGTCCGCCGGGGGAGCCGCCACCCTGCGCTCCGGGCTGTCCCTGCAGTGCTCCCGCGGCAGAGGCAGGGCGAGGAAGGACGAGTCTGGCGTCTGCAGCATGCTTTGCTGAGCGCCCACGAAGGGACAGGCCGCCTGCTGGCGGAGGAGCGTCTGGAGGACTTCGTGGTCATGTCCTCCTGTTGTAGAGCAACCCCGATACAAAACGGGGTGCCTGACTGTGGGTCCTCACCCGCGCGCTTAAAAGGACTTATCAATGCTCTACTGCAGGCACACGTGAAAGGTTAATAAAAGGTTTATTTACAAGGGAAGGGGAAATGAGGAAATGTACAGCTCTGGGAGAAAAGTGGGAGACAAAGTTTTAAATGAGTCCTACCCAATCCGCCGATCAGGAATCCCAAAATGGCGCTCTCAGAGTTGGCCGCCAGCCAGGAGCGGTGAAGCCAGGAGGGGAGCGATCGCGAGCCAGAGACCCCAAGGCCCACGTGTTTGTTTTTTTATATCCAACCTGGCTGCCCAACTCCACCCTCAGGTCCCAGCCACCCTCCCTTGGTGGTGATGGGATTTGTCTTTCCCAGAGTCTTGATGGCTTTAGTCTGGAGTGGGGGTGGGGTCCACAAAGCCTGTATGGGATTAGCTCAGGACATCACTTCCCCCTAACACTCCCGCGGGGTCGGGTCGTTGTGGACACGCGTGTCCCCACCGCGGTATTCCACCTTAATCCGCAAGCAGCCTCGCCGGGGACTAGGCAGAGGGCGTCGGGTTTGGGGGGTTTGTTCCAACTGCTTAAGCCTTTCTCTTTTATTTCTTTCCTCCTCCTCCTTCCTGGTTAAACTTTTGCAAGAAAACCCTCCTCATTCTCCCATCCTCAGAAATATGCAAGAGCCACTCTGTCCCCAAGTCTCCCCCTGGGCTTCTCCAGACATGCTGCCTGGTGTCACCAGCTCTTCGAACCCTCGGAAAAGATGGGGGGAAAGAACCCCCACCTCTGTCCTCTTACATTTATTCGTAGGGGTCTGTGGATTAAACTGCCAAACACAGACCCTCGAGAGAAAAGACTAATCCGCTCTTTTTGTTAATGGACCTCGCAGCCTTCGCAGATTCCTGTACCTGGAAGAGGAAGTCAGACGCCGGGGCCTGCACGCTGTTATGCGGGGCGGCGAGGCGGGCACCGGCGCTCCGCAAGCAAACAGCGGGGCTCGGGGGAGTAGAAGGGGCCGGGACGGTTTTGTGACCACTTTCTCCGCTTCGGGCGACAGGGGTCGGCCTCGCGGGGGCCGCGCCGACGTTACCGGGGCCCGCGGACGCCCCGCGCGTGCCCGGCCCGTCCCCTCCCGGCGGGGCCCCGGACGCGGGCGCTGGGCGTGGCCGAGGGCAGGCGCGAGCCGCGGCCCACGTCGCTTGGCCGGGGCCTGGCCGAGCCCGGGGCGGCCCCCCGCGCCGTCCCCGCGTGGCCGGGGCCGGCCGGGCCCTGGTGAGGCGCGGCTGGGCCGCGAGGCCCGCTCGGCGTCCCGCACTCGCCCCCGGAGGCGCGGCCGGGCCGGGCCGACCCCTGCTCGCCCCGGCCCGTTCCACGACGAAACTCGATTCCCGGGCGGCGCGGCGGCTGCCGGGCACGGGGCCGCGGCCTGGTTCCAGGGCGGGGAGCGCCGCGAGAGCCGGCCCCGCCCCTGCAAGCCCGGGGCGCTGGCGCGCGAGCACCCGGAGGGCCCCGCGGGGACCCTGCTCCTTCTCAACGCCGGCCTCTGGCGACCACCCCGGGCACAGTTCCCGCGACGCTCTGCGCGCGAAAGCGATAATTTGGAAAATAATTGTAAGACGTCGAAAGCCGGAGGAAAAGGGGGAACCGTGGCCCGTACGGGGATCGAACCCGCGACCTTGGCGTTATTAGCACCACGCTCTAACCAACTGAGCTAACCGGCCACACGACGCTGCGGAACCGCCGCCGTCCTTATGAGCTGCGTGCGCCTGCGCGGGGCCGGCCGGCCGGGACCCGAGGCGGAGTCCCCGCGCCGCAGCCGCCTGGCCCAGCCCACGCGCCGGGGCAGGACGCCGGGTCCCGGCCTCGGAGGGGCTTCCCACGGCGACCCCAGGCCTTCGCCGGGCGAAAGCAAACTGCAGAGGGGAGGCCTAGCTCCGGAAGCAGGTTTAGCAGGTTTTCAAATACTGCAGCTCAAAGCTATTTGTATCGATCCCAGTAACCTTGCAGCGCGGAAACTGTGGATCAAGAGCCTTGAGGGGGAGGGGAGGGAAGGGGAACAGAAAGAACAAGGATCCAGTAACCGTGGCCACTCCGGCCTTGGCCTCTCCTGCCAGTCTCCACTGTACAGGTGCATACATATACCTGTGTGCGTGCGTGTGTATGATTCAATGCAACTTTGTTTAAAAATAATATAATTTTTTTTTTATCTTACCCTTTGTGCTTAATAGTCTATCATAAGCATATCCCTGAGCAATTGCAAATGTCATTTAAAATGGTTCCTCCTATAGGGGAACCAAATAAGGGACAGGAAAAGAAATAATCATAATAGTAGTAATAATAAAATTAACAGGCAACTATAAATCAGAGACATTCTGCAGGGGCGGGGGAGGGAGAGGGATCCAAACAGGGGCGGGAAGAGCACGAGGGGCTGTGGTGACCGAGGGGGTGAACTGGTGGTGGGAATTTTAGGGAGACCGCACCTGAGAGGAGAGAGCAGAGAGCATACATTGTATAAAAACGAACAATGATGTAAAATATACATATAAATAAATACTAAATAAATAAAATGGTTCCCTAGTGTTTCATTGGGTGGATAAGCCGATGTTCCCTAACCCCCCACCCCCACCCCTTTTCTTTTGTGTCTGGAAAATATCTTCATCTTGCCCCCTATTGTTCACACATGAATAAATCATAAATTGGCTGCTGTGGGAGCAACCCAGGTGCCTGCTGCAAAGGGATGGGGTCTATATGGGGGCGGGGGGATGCTGGGAAGACAAAACTGAACAGAGCCCTTTCCCCACCTGCATGTCCAGGGGTCCCTGGCTCTGGGGGGCCACGGGGCCATTTGTGCCGGTGTCACCAGTGTTGAGGTGTGGGAACACCAGCTTTCACACTGTCCACTTTTCTGGTCTGACTATTGCACAAATGGTCTGCTGAGGTCTCCCGTTGTAAGCAGAGGAAAGCAAGTCCAGGCGACCTCTATAGCGCGGGCTGTCAGGTAGCTCACCCACCACCAGGAAGGCTGGGGACCCGCTACTCAGCCAGATCATCCTCACCAAGCCTGACCCTGCCCCGACACTGGGAGCCGACGGCGAGGGGACAGGCTAACCCACAGCTTAGTGCCCAGGGCAGGTGTTAGTGAACAGGAGAAGCTCAGGAGTGGTGTCCAGGGCAGGGAACCGGGCTGGGACAGAGGGCCAGGCCTGTTTCCTGGCAACTGGGACACCTAATTGTGTTCCGCAGGACAGGCTGACGGCCGGCAGGGGCCCCTGCTGGTGCTGCCAGGCTCCTGTCCACCATGCTCGCAGCAGACCACCCGGGGCTGGGCAGGTACATACTGAAGAAACAGGAATCAGATCAATGCACCAGCGAATTCCAAAATCTTCCTGCATTTGAAAACACACATCAAGAGCCTCCCTGGCGGGCCTCCCCGGTGGCGCAGCGGTTGAGCGCTGGGTTGTGAGGTTGCCCGCAGCCTCTGCAGCGCCGGTTCGATCCCCGGCTGCTCCCCGGCCACCAGAGGAGGGTCCCACATGGCGTGCAGACCTCTCCTGCCGCCCGCTGCTCCCCTCAGCAGTGTGCTTCGGTCCTTCTGCCTGCTCTGCTCCCCGCTCTGGCTCTGGTGAATTCTCTCGCCCTCCCGTGCTTCTGACTGTGCCCAGTGCATGTATAAACAAAAAACAAACAAACAAATAAATAAAACATGCCTCTAAAAAAAAAAAAAAAGAGCCTCCCTGGTGGCGCAAGGGGTTAGTCTCAGCACTATGCAGCTACCCGCAGCCACTGCAGCATGAGTTCGATCCCTCGCCAGGGAGCTGGCCCACAGGGCATAGCAGAACCCTCCTGCCTCCCCGCTGCTCCCCTCAGCAGTGGATTTCAGTGGATCTATCTGCTCTGCTCCCCACTCTGTCTCCGGTGAATAAACACACACACACACCCCATACACACACATCAAGCCACTTCTCTGTTCAAACTTTTTTTTTTAAG